TTGTCTGTTGCCCTACAGAAAGTTTTTAAGGAAAGCTGAAAGTTTCCTCACTCTGCCAAGGTGACTGTTTAAGGGCATTCCTAAGGCAATTCCTAATTTGCAAATGTTATTTATATGTGAGTTTCGGGTGTCTGTTTTACAAAGGTGGCTTTGATTTTGGAGGGCTCTTAACTGAATTTGGAGAGGTTACAGCTGAAGCAGAGGGTAAGCCCAGAGCTGCTGGAGTGACAGAGCTGCCTCACCAAGCAAATCCTTGCCCAGCCACACACCCAGACAGGAAAGAGGATTCTTGCTCTTTTTTCTGCAGTCTTCCTCTTCTGCCTCCCCCACCCTGGGGCTCCTTGATGAGTTCCCGTCTTTCTCCTCTCCTCCCCCAGGGACATGGAGAAGCCAGATGCCACAGAACAGGTTTGGAACCAGTCAGCAAATGTTATGCAGGTTGAATTACAGGAGGAGGAGAAGCAGTTCTAGTGCATGTCCTTTCTCACAGTGGGGTGAATTAGAGCCTCTTGCACACCCTGGAGATCACCTTGCAGGAAGAAATGGGACATCTTTTACATGTTTGTGTTATTAAACAGTAAACTGGAGAAATTTCTCTGGAAAGGAAAGTCCCTTTCATTTTTATCTGCTACCCCTGCATGTGGCTTGCTGTGCATGTAATACAACCCTTTTTAGACAGCTGTACTAATTGTTGCAGATTAGGTTAAATTTTAAACCCTCTGTAAAGGCAGAAATGATCCAAGTTTGAAACTACTGAGCCAATTGTAATGTGTTTGATCAGTCTGAAGTTTATAATGGCCAAATAGTGGCGAAGGCTGCACCAAAGGGGACCTGTAATCCTGGCAGGGAACAGTCCAGGAGACAGGCTTGGGTGAGCTGCTTATCAGATTATTACAGCCCATTAGTTAAAGGAGGGAAAAGTATCCCAAGGAAGGTTGAAGAAAATCACAGTGTGTGTTAGTTTCATCTATCTTCTATTTGCTGTTCATGAATTTGCAAACCTTCCATATTTTGTATTTTTGATGTCTGTTCTATTTATTGATAGATCATTTAATGTCAAAGTCTAGCAGTTAATTTTTTTTTTTTTTGTAGCCCTGAAAGTAAGGGTGTTGTTTTTTATCCTGGTACACTTTTATAGATCTTGATAGAACAGAAGGCCCCATAACTTTCCAGTCTGTTAAGTAACTTACTGCTGCATTTGATTCATAGATGCATGAGAAGGGGATGGAGTTCCAATTTAGAAATCTGGTTTAAAAGTTTGATCTAAAAAATACCACAACAAACTATTTTTCCAATAGCCTACAAATAGAAAATGGAGTCATTTTGATTACTTACTGACGTTTATGGAGGTAATTCTGCACAGTGCTGTGGGTGGTTGGGTTTGATTCAGTAAAACAAGCTAATAAAATTACTCTCAGCTCCCAGGCCAAAGCTTGTCTCCACAGACTCCACGTGTGAAGGAAGCCAATGCTCTCTTAGGAACTGTACTCTTCATCCCAACCCACTCAGTCTCGGACCTAAAAATTCCCTCTGGCATGGGCCCTGGGTCTGGTGATTGTTAGTCACAGCCAGCATGCCCTGGGATGGTAAGAAAGGGAACCAAACACTCTGCTTTCCAAGGTATTCTGCTTGTAGCAAGTCATTTGCCTTTGTTTTCCTCTGGAATTACAACTTTTAAAGATGAGTAAAGCATTGCAGGATAATCTACCTCTATTTGCAGTTTGGCTGCTGAAAACCAAACAAAAAATTCTTAATCAACGTCTCTCTTGTCATCAGCACTATAGGAAAGCAAATACATTTTCACAGTCAAGGAGCAAGGAACAAATGAGCTGTTAGATTTGTGTTTGTGCAGTACTTCAACATTACCAGGTTTATTGATGCATCAGAGTCTTTCTAGTGGGATGTAATGAACAGAGCCACGAGAGTGAGGAATGTGTTGTGTCGTGACAGTGGGGCTGGGCAGAGCAAAGCTGAACTGAATGGAGCAGTACTGGATGCTGAAATTGAAAATGCTGAAAGCCATTTAACCTTTTAAGAATGTATTATGTACCTCCTACAGAGTTCCCACAGAATTGATTACAGATTGAAGAGGCTTCAGAAATTAGAAAAAGGAAGAGGAACCAAAAGAAGAGAAACCCTACACACAATATTTTTACTCCTAAGTACATGCAGCTTTCTGTCATGTTGTTTTGTTACGGTAGTTCTTGGCTGGCCAGTGATACATACCTAGGCTTGAGGGTGCACTATTTTGCTGCAGACTGTAGAATTTAGAATTGTGCTACAGTAAAGGCTCTATTTTCTGGATGTATATATTACTGTAATAATAAAATTGCCATGTGAGGTACGGAGTTACAGTCTGCATATGAAACAGCGTGGGACAGGAGACCCAAACAATGAGATTTTTGGAGCTTATGTATGAATGTTTATGCATTTACGAGCATTAATGGATATTTTCTGATTGCAAAGAACATTGCCACAGCTCATAAAAGTGGTGGTGAGTCATCACCTGCATGTGTAGTAGGAACAGTGGAGGTCTCCAAGCAGTTTTAAGTGGAGAGCAGCTCGCTTTCCTGAGAGTGAAACATAACATCCTGAAGTAACTGACTGGCAGAAAGTGGTGGTAATATTCACAGTGATTCCCTGGGTTGTTGGTATTTAACCTTTTAGGGGCATAAGGTTGCACTTCTGCAGATATATGTGTATTACATGCAGGCACTCAGGTTTAAGGTCTCTTGGGTCCAAAAGCTGACCCTAAACCACAATGCCTTTTCATTTTCTTTTCCTATTGAAACACAGCAGGCAGAGGATGTCACAAAACTCTTAGCTTTATGCCGAACATGCTGTCAGTTTTTCATATATTTGTTGACTCATTCCCTGCATTTTCAGTCAAATCTGATCATCCTCTCCTATCTGATGATTCACCATATTTTTAGAAATTTGTTTATCCAATAGCTGCTACCTGTACCCAATAGCTTTTAGATGGACTCCTGCGCCCTGGGAAGGGGTAACCCTGGCAGCTGGAAGATTGCCATGTCAAAACCAGTAATATGGCAGAGAAAGGCAAAATCATGGTGCTTTGCTCTTCACTGTAATCAGGCCATGTGTCCTGCCAGCAGCACACTTGTTTTCATTTAGCAGACTTGTCTGGAGAGTATTATAGGACTCAACAGAAGGCAGCTACAAAATCCTTGTAATTTTACCAAGCACATTAGACTAACGATGGCAAGAGCCTTGTTTCCAGCAGTAGATCCTGCCACAGACACACATCACTGAAACCTTCCTTCTTTCCCTAAAACAATCCCATATTTAAGTCTTTCTCAGTATAGTCAGAACTCTTATCTCCAGATTACTCAACAACTATGCAACTCAATAGCTAGAGAATGGTTCTGAATTATGAATGAATGCTTTGTTTAAAATCCAGTAGATTTTCCTTGTTGGTTTTTTTGGGTTTTTGGTTTTTTTTCTTTTGTGTAGAAATTTCTCTGCTCAGACTTTGTCAGAGTGTGGAATGATCGTATCTTCACAGAAATCTGCCTTGTAATCCTGATAGTGATTGTGAACATTTGTAGTCCTCACTTGGAAATGTAGTGATGAGGTATAGGTACAGCAATAAACTGGAAGAGGAAACAAGGAGCAGAAGGGATTAGGGTATAGATTGAAAAGCTCTAGGGAAGGATAAGGTTAGGCTAATGGTGAGGGATGTTGTAAGAGACCTGCTGGGTCAGGGTTTTGCGAGGATTGGGAGCAAGTGAGGCTCCTGTGCTTCTCCCAGGTCCCCCCAGGATCAGAGGAAGCCAGCAGTCACTGTATGGACAACTGGCAGTGTACCTGCCATACAAATGGATATATAGCTACACTTTCCCTTCCTGCAAATCCCCAGGTCCTGGTATTGGTACTGGTGAGAGCAGCAGTCAGGATGCCTGGCAAGAGCAGGGCAGTTCAGATGTCTTCAGCCTCTAAAAAACATCTCTATCTCCTCCCCTGCCCTACAGGTGGGTTTGTAGGGCTTTTTTCCATTTAGCAGATGTCCTGTTGGGGAAGGATGTTGTCCTCAAATTGATGTCCTGCACTCTTTAAAGCCATTTTCATGCTCTGGATGAATGGGTTTCTATACTGCTAATTTTACACTATGGTCAGTTATTTTAACCTGCTAATACTACTATTTATATAAATGTGAATTGATACTTTTCTCCCAAAGCCCCACTGGTATTTAAAAGCTGGCTGTGGTGTATTTCAGTAATACTGCTTATGCTAAGCAGGAAAAAAATCATAGATCAAACCTTGTAAAGTTATGACTAGCTTTAAAATTGAAATTTTTGAACAGTTTAGATACTGTCCTTTATTTTATACAGTATCATTTACTGAGCTCTGTCCTTTGTCATTACAATTGTCTTATTTTCATAATACCCTGATTTCTTCAGTAAAACCAGTCAAGCTTCCTTTCCAAAGTAGGTTTCTTCTGCCCCTTATTACCTCTTCTAGGAACCTGCTGTTTTGTGATCTGAAGTAGGGCAGTATTAGAGTTGTTAGTGATTATGATTACTATCTCAGTCTTCATATTTCTAGTCTTCTGCCACACTGATCCTGATTTCCCTATGCCTTTTGTGGATAAGTCTTTATTCCCTTCACTGGGGTATCTGATTTTGCCCTCTTCTCACCACTGCAAAGTGGTGATGCTTCTCCTGTTCCTCAGGGCAGGGGCAGAAAAGGAAGCAAAGCTGCTGTTTGTACAAGGTAAGGAGGATGGGTAGGTGGAGGATATAAAGGGTTTACCTAGGGAATATGTGCCACAGGGAGGGAAGAGCTGCCTGGGAAAGAAACAGGAGAGAGGAGTGATCCTTCCCAAGCTGAGCCTGTCCCAGATCTCACTGACACCATGTCCTACCATCATGCCAGGGTTGGAGGTGTGTGGCCAGGACTCGGATTTCTGGTGCCAGGCAGAGGAATGCTCTTCCCTGGCCATGGCCCTGGTGTTAACCATGTTGCTTTGTTTACTCTAGATACACTTTATACTGCTGTTCAGTCGGCAGGGGAAGTTAAGGCTTCAGAAATGGTACACGACGCTACCTGATAAAGAGAAGAAAAAGATCATTCGAGAAATTGTTCAGATTATTTTGTCTCGCAATCAAAAAACAAGTAGTTTTGTTGACTGGAAAGACCTCAAGCTTGTTTACAAAAGGTGTGAGTAACTTTGTAAGAATGTATAATCACTACTCATATGAATAACACTCTCTAGAAGAGGAAGAAGAAAGACTCACTTAAGGAAAAGCAGCAAACAACACTCGTGGTGCAGGGGCTGAGTTAGGAGCCTGCCAGTGGCAATCTGGGTATAACAAGTGTGTCCCTGGACAAACCAGCAGGGTAATTGTGAGATGCAAAATACTTGTACAGTCTGTCAAACGAGAAAAACGGGAGTAACCTTATAGGTATTGGTGTTTAGAAGGCATTAGACCTCCCTGCCCTTTCAAATTCTCTAGGGTAACCTGGCAGAGATGTGTGTGCTGGGTTTTATCAGCTGTGGAGATTGCAGGAACTGTTCCAAGACACTTTCATAATTTTGTCAAATTTTGGTTTTGAAATATTTATTTCTCTGGAAAGTATTAATTCTTATTTCCTTTTCCAAAGAAATTACTGGTCCCCAGTTACACAGTGCCTCATGCTAACTGCCTGTTTGTTCTCCTAAAGTTGCAGCAAACAAATTTAGCTTTAATGTGTAGTACACTGGGTAAATTAAACATCTCCCATTTAGCAAAAACTGAGTTCCATGCTGTGAAGGGAAGGATATAAACATCTGACCAGAAGCTGTGACAAGTTGGCCTCCAGCCACAGTATCAGCAAGCTGAATAGATCATGGGCTGGTTTAAACATAAAGTTTTGGTGCGAGTCAGTTACAAAGCTTGTTTGGTCTAAGCAGCTTCGTGCATTCTGGCTGTCTGTGAAGCACTGTCATCTGACAGCCAGCAGGCTTCCTGAGATTTAACTCCTTTCAGCTTTGCCTTATTTTTGTTTTTTTAATTAGAAGGGGTAGCTTGTCCTACAGTTTAATGAACCTCACTTACTATAGCGCTATTGCAGCAGGTGAAAAAGACCTGAAAGAACTACTTACTACTGATTTATTGCCTGTTTTATTATGTCCAGTGTTACAGGTGTCCCACTTTACCAAGGGTGAAGTTGGTTCTTCTAACTGAAACAATAATTTGTTTAAATCATCTGATCTTCTAAAATGTTCCCTGGGACACTGTAAGAGTGAAAGAAAATGTTTATTTTAGAAACTAGATAGGAATTAAATGTCATGTGAATGACCTCTAAGAGATGAGCAGAGCACTGAGGTCCCAGCTGTTCACTGCCATGTTTTTGCCTGTGTTTCCCCAGGTATGCTAGTTTGTATTTCTGCTGTGCAATAGAAGACCAGGATAATGAGCTCCTGACACTAGAGGTCGTTCATCGATACGTGGAGCTCCTGGACAGATACTTTGGAAACGTAGGTTTCACTTTCTCCCATGAACTCATTCCTGTCTGCCCGATAAACAAAACTATGTGCAGCTGATTTGCTTTGTGTTCCACCTGCTGCATTTGCCATGCAGGTGCTCTCAATTCAGAATGAAATTATTAGGGTATTTTATAAAATAATGCTGAAATGATCATGAGATTGGTTTTCCATCCTTTTTCCACTCATGCAGAATCTTAATCTCGATGCTTTGAATGTCTGTCTTAGGATAGAATCTGAAGGGAAAGATTCAGGAAAAATTATTTTAAAAACTCAAAGCAGGTTAAAGTACTTTAATTCTCTCTCCTGACATTGTAAGTTATACTGGTTTTGTTTGTCTCATAATACTGGGTAACAATTAAGGACATAGAGGCAAAACATAAAATCAGCATGTTTATAAAGAAAAGACTTAAAGAAGGTCCAAATAAGTCTTTGAAGACTACAAGACACCCATCTTTTCTCTGAATATTTTTGAAATTATCCTGCCTACCTTAATTCATATCTTAGTTAAATCAGTGTGCCATGACTCATGTCTGTACTGCCTCAAAACTAAAAAGCAGTGGCTGTTGCTGGGCAGGGAATTGTCTTGCTCTGTGAAACTGTAACCCTTATTACAAGGGCTCTGTAGGACCTGTGATAAGATTAGTGGGCCAGCTTTGGGCTCTGACAACCAGCATGAACTTAATAAAAAAGTGGAGTATCTTTGCTGCAAGTCTGTATATGTGGAGAGGATATGTGCAGAAACTTCAGTATTACATAACATGCAGTTTATTTCTTCACCCTGCTACCTGCCACAGGGGTGCATATGCTGAGGATATTCAATCATCACAACAACTTTTGGCATAGTAGTGCATATAATACTGTACAGGTGATTTAAATGTGGTTGTGGCCTCTTGTTCTGGCAGGTGTGCGAGCTGGATATCATCTTCAATTTTGAAAAAGCTTATTTTATTCTTGATGAGTTTATAATTGGTGGAGAAGTACAAGAGACTTCAAAGAAGACTGCAGTGAAAGCCATAGAAGACTCTGACATGTTGCAGGAGGTAAGGCAGAGGAGGACAAAAGGCAAACACCTCACCTTCCTACATCTCCCTTGTTTGACAGGAGATGAAAACACAGCTAAGCACTTCTGGTACTTAATTATCCAAGTGTGTCTTCCATTCGGTTTCAACAGGTACAACAGGGCAGTTACATAAGCTTTCAATTCAACCCTCCTGGTATCATCTAGAGGCTCTTTATATAAAGCTGTTGCTCTCTTGCAGCTTAACTGCTACAGTTTATTTAAAAATAGTTTAAGATGTATCTAAGATACTTCTTTAATATAAAAACATAATCTAGGGTTATATTTTATGTATGTATATGTAAAGACAGAAAAATCTCTTCTATTTCACTAATACATTGGAAACATGACCTACTATTAACATTTAAAATTGGAAATAGTATGTGCTGGCAAACTGCTTTCATTCAGAAGCGCCTGTGTAGTTTTTCTGCCAGGCACAAATATGTAACCCTTATTCAGAACCCTGCAGGAATTCACTTGTAACTAGGTACCATTGAGTCAGGAATGGCAAAAACAGTTGAATGTGATGGGTTTCATTCATTTTTCCCTCAGTAGTGAAGGATCCATCACAATGCTGATGGGAGCAGCACAGTGCTAGAACTGGCTTGGGACGTGCTGTGGGAGTTGAGCAGGTTCTCACAGTGCTCTGCCCTGTGCACATGAAACTCAGCACTGTGTGCAAAGGCCACTGGCATGATGAGTTTAGCCATAACTGTGCTATGGCATGATTTAAATGTCAGATTTTAAACCACTCTGTTACATGTTTTTAAAGTGGCATTATTTCTGCATTTTAATCAATTTTATCTAATTTCCTGCAAAACTATAGCTGTCCTCAAGAGGGTTTCTATGATTATTATTGTACCACTCCATAATGCATCAGTTGTTTCTTTTCTCTTTTTGTTGTTTCCTAGACAGTGGAAGAATACATGAACAAGCCTGCATTTTAGTGTTAAACTACCTGAAGAGAAAACTGCTGTATGAACCTCTAAAGTGCACTTCCTGAAATTGCTTCCCAATGTGCCAGATCCTCAAAGAAATACCAAAAACCAGTAACTGAAGGGGTTTGTTTGTATAATGGTGAAGATGAAAGTCAGCTAATGTAGCAAGGGGTTTAACAATTCTGTGCTTTGCATTACTCTGTACATGAGTTTCTCAGAGTTGTTACTACCCCAATCTAGTTTCTCTGCTCCTTGCTGGACTCAGCTGTTGTTTTGCACCATGTCTTTTAGCTACGGGTTTTGTCATCACAAAATGCTCCTCTGACAACATTTTGAAGAGGTATTTTTACTAGTTTTGTTCACTGCTGACTGTATGAATCTACTTTTGTACAAATGTCCATTATTTTGAATGTAATGGTTATTCTGCTGTAATAATAATTTTTTTCTAAAAGCCAAATTGCTGTGGGCCCTGATTTCACAAACTTCTTGTGACAAGATTAACCCTTGATGTATATGAGGAAATACACATCTCTTTGGGGCAGCCTCTTTCTTTCACTGTCTTCTTTCTCTTTTCTGTTCTAGTTTGCTAATAAGACTGCTCCAACTGCTCCTACAGTGCACTCTGTGCCTCCTTTTAATCTGAATACTGTTTGGAGGTAGGTTTTTCCTAAGATTAATGAATCCTTTTTCTGCTGCTGCATGCAGATGGCCTGTTTCTTTCTCCTCATTTTCCTATCCCCTTCCTAGATCCCTTGGACCTATGCAAAGGCTTCAAACTTTGGAATTGTGCAGCATGAGTGCAGGAGAAAACCTGGAGAGAAAAAAATCAGCCTTTGGAAGATAATCTCATATATCTTTTGGAATTCAAACTCATGTTTCCCAGTAGAGTTTTCCAATCTCAAATTCACACACCTGTTGGGATGATTTATAACTTTGCAAGCTGCAGAAAGGATAAGGTAGTAGAGAGGAGTCAGCTGGGCTGTGTGCCCTCCTGTGTGTTACAAGCCATTGCAGCAGAGTGTGTGTGGAGCTAGGTGTGTTAACTCTCCTTTCAGTGCAGTTTAGACTCTGTGAACTGATTGAACTGGCTTCCTTAGAGAATCCAAAGCTCAGAGAAATTCTGTTTATCTGAGCCCATAATTCTGAACTAGATGTTTTGTTTCTGTCAAATAATGAAATTATTCTATACAAAAATTAGGGAAGTTTCAGACAAATATACCAGAATGATCCAAGCATTGTCATATTTCTCTTCTTTATATATATTTCCCTTGATTTCTGGCATGAACAGTCAATATTTTCTTTCAGAGGTCTTTCTAATCTTTAAATGTCCTGCATACTTACTCTGATTTTGTCACTGCTCCTTCCTTCCTCCTCAGTTAGTATCTTCCTACAGGAGGGACACTGGGGGTTGTTTGGAGGGTGGGGGCACTTTGACACAACACAACTTTGCTGATTGTCAGCCCACTATTCTGCCTCTGCTTTCCAGTCTGTTAGTAAAACTGTGACAGACTGGTTCATAGCATCATGTTGCTCTTTTTTATAATTACTTTATCCATCTGTTTTCTCTGTATTGATGTCGCAGCCATACTTTCGCCTGGAAAGAGTGAAAATTGCTGAAGGGCTTTTAATAGCTCTGAAGACATCCAATTTAATAGTAAATTAATGAAACTGTGTAATTTGTAGATTATTTTCTCATGGTTTGAAATTAAGTTTTTTAAAGTACAGTGTTTAATTGATTAAGAAATCATTAAGAAATCACTTCAGACGTGCAGAGGCTCCTTGACTCTTTTCCTTTATAAGTGACTTCTACTAACTGAAATCATCAGTAGTTTGATGATGAGATTCTCTGATGCTTAAAACTATTATGTTGGTGGAATTCTGAATTAGATCAAAATAGGAGTCCCAGAAAGATTGCTTGGTACAAATAAAGGTATCATAAGCCTGCCTTTTCAGTCATTTTAAGAAGAGCTAGAAGGCTTCTTTCTGCATCATTTCAAGGTGAAAAGAATTCCTGAGGGAAGAAAATAATGGACTGGGTAGAGGTACTTAGACCAGCCATATCAGTGTAGCATCTGAAGTAAATAGCATTGCCAAACTGGTGTATCCAGTGTCAGCTTGAGAAGTGTGAAGGAATTAGTCTGGTAAGTGTGAAGGAGTTAGTCTGGTTTCCTTACCCCAGTGCAAAAATTCATTGGAATATGGTGTGCCTGTTGTGCCACCTGTCTGTGTGCTACAAAGATGAATGGAAAGCATGTTAAATACTCTAAAAGAACTGCTGACTTACGTTCATGCTTTAAGAAACCTCTACACATTCTTGCTGCTTTTGCATGTTGGAGAGCTCCACAAAGCATGCAGGTGAGCCTTAGCTGATATGACTTTTGCAAGTACCAGCCTGCATGCTTAAAAACAGATGGGTTTGAAACATAAAACTTGTATTTAAACTTCTTATAACCCTCAGTGAGAAAGGGATCACTCAGTTAAGCAATGTTGTAATGGAATTTGGTTCAACTCAGGTCTTTTTCCAAAGGGAAGAAGCCCAAATGAAGCCCAGTTATTATCAGGTCACCTTCAGGTCACTAAATCTGCACGTTTCCATCTTTGTGAACTAACAGAACCCTACATAGATCAGTGCACTGCAGTGCATAGCTCATCAGTTATGTCTCTTGATGTCTTGGTTCCTTGACTTTTCTTGGAGCAGGAGGTACATACATATTTTTGTACATATTCACTAATCTCTGAAGCATTGCAATTTATATTTGCTGTTGATGTTTCTCTTTTCAGCTTGCCAGACTATCCTAGGCAATGCTCAGTGTAAAGTTTGAGAAACTTTATGAAATTATTATCCAAAAAAAGTGTTAGCAGGCTCCTCAAGTTTCCCCATCTCAGTCTCATCTTTTGCCTAAACTCTCACCTTGCTGACAAACTTCCAGCACATGTCCTAGTTTGCAAAACTGCATTTACTAAAATAACCATTAATCATGGTCATGTTGCTAGCCTAGATTCCCTTCCTTGCTCTCACCAGCTGCATGTAACAAAAAGCTGCTTGATTTTCATGTGAGCATCTCTGCCTGGAGGATTCTTACTGTGATCTTGCTGCTGAGTGGTTGGGACAGAGCTGCTTCCCTGTTTTGCAACTATTTGCAACACATGAGTTGAGACACCTCTGAACATAACCATGGCAGAAGAGACAAACAGTAGACAGGGATAAAAATAAGTGTAATAATGTCAAAAGTAATAGAAATGTGACAAATCATCATGAGTGAAAGGCAAAAGCAGCAGGTTCATACCGGATTCATGAATTTTTATAATTTATGTTTCTTTTTTCACTGTGACTTTTTTAGTGTTCATTAAAAAGGTGTCAATTCTTACAAATAATTTAAGAAAACTGACATTTTGGTTTCCTCCTATTGGCTTTTGTTTAACCAAGAGCCACTGAGAGTCTTCAACACCTTCCCCAGCTGCTCCTGCAACCTACCTGTGCTTTCAGAAACCCCAGTGGAAAACTCAGGGTAAAGTTTAGGTATGATTCTGCATCTGAATTTTCCTTGGACAGAATAATGTTGTACTTATAAAAGAAGGAATTACTGTTTTTTCCTTTATTTCACTGTCCTTTCAATAGAGAACACTTTTTTTATCCTCTGCTTAGCACTGTGCTGCATTGGGGTAGTGGAGCATGCAGAACCAATACAGGAGGTTGTCAGGAGAAGATCAGGGCGTGACTGGGGCTTTCAAAGGTACCCAAAGATGTTCAGTCCAATCCCCTCAAAATATCCAGGCAGTTCATAGAGAGACAGAACTCCCATCCCTGCCTGTCCATGACGTTCTGTTCCACTGAAAGTGCGTTTGAAAGTATTTCTGTCAGCACAGCTCCTGTGTGAGGGGGATGTTGCTCTCACCCTGCCTGAGATGACTAAACAAAGGTCTCCATTTCACAGCTGATCCATACATATGGTGGGGTTTTCATTAGCTTTTTGCAGTGTCTTTATGGAGTCTGCATCATCATCCTGCATCACTGTATTTCTGATTTCGAGGGCTGGCAGAACTCGTGAGCTCAGACCAGGTAACAGTGTCCTTCTGGGGGAGCTGACGACATTCCTGCTGAATTCAGGAGCGTGTGTGTGTTCCTTGGCAGGATCACGGTACAGAGGAAATAGAGCTGTTGATTTAATTGCCTGTTAACATATTTCAGGGATCTTTTTTCACAAAGGTAGCCGGGCTGGGTTACAGTACAGTAGTGAAAGCTTTGTGTTTGTAGCAGAAATAACAGGCTGTGCTGCAAGAGAGTTAATGTTTGCTGTCATGGAAACCTGTTGCCTTGGAACATGATTAATGAGACAGGCTAAGGGGAAGGAAGAAGCTATTCTTGAAATTAGTGTTCAGCAAACCCTGAGCAAGACCAGCAGTATACAATACCATGAATTTTACTTATTTCAGATTCTGTTGTCTGGTTCACTTAACCTTGTCTTTTTACTTATTTATTCAACAGCTCTTATAACCACATGTTTTTGTGCAAAGAAAATAATTCAAAGCTAATCCTTTGGCTGTCTAGAAATAAACAGCATGTTACTTACACTCCCAGTACACTACAAAATTTGTTCAACTTCTGTGGAAAGCAGACACTTGAAGACAAACTTGTGGCTGGTCTGGAATGCCCCAATAGGCCAGGGAACAGTAGCAGTTTAGCTGAGGATTTTTGCCTTTTGGCTCCAGGAGGTTTCAGAGAGTCCAGAATATGAGGTAGGGAACATTTCTGTGGATTTAACCATTTGGAGAAATCTGGTTACTCCTGTGTGTTGGTGTGGTAAGATTGCTGTTCTCTAATGCTGAAAGGAAACTTTGTGAGGGGAACATACAAAAAAGGTGTTTTAAAGTTGATGTCACCCTTCTGCCATCTCCTTTCAGAATTCCCACTGAGACTTCTTCTAGAGTTCCTGCTCCAAGCCCAATGTGTATCATTGCACACCAGCTTCTGCTGTGGGGAATAGAATGTTTTCCTCCTGCAAAGGTGAATTTGTGTGTCTGTTGTAAACAACAGTGCTGAATGAAGAATCCCTAGTTTACACAGGAGGACAAATTCATTACAGCTTGCTGTGAATTTCAGCTGCCCTCTGGACCAGAATCTTAATCTAATTTAATAATAAATTACCAGCAGGTCTAAGTCTCCCTGCCTTGTGGAGATGACACTTCAGGGCCCTCCTCAAACTCACAGTGAGGAGTCAGCCTTAGCTGGGCTGAACCAACAATGACAAGTCTCAGGGGAACGTCTTCACAGAAGTTTCAGGTGAAAGAATCTTTTTATTTCTCAAGAGGGCTTAGGGTGAGGTTCTAGGTGAGTATTACGCTGGATAACAGCTCTGAAGGCACAATCTGACAGTGTAGCAAGAAGGAAATATTCTGGGAAAACGAACAAGGAGCTGTCTGGGTTTTTAAGATGACAGCTACACAGGAGCAAAGGAGGGTTATTTCTGGTGTCTGTTGTCAAGGACAAGGTGGTCCTTGCTTGTTCTCAGAGGGAAAACTGGCTTGGATAATGAGTTCTTGCTTGGCAAAGGCTGACACAGTGTTATGCTGTCAATGACAAGAATCTTCTGCTGGCATAAAGGTACTGCAGAGAGCAATGAAATATCGTAAGTTATTTTAAAATACAGTAGTAAAACATTGATCCATTCTGCTTGGGTTAATACGAGGAAATGTCAACATTTATCATGGCAGTTCTGTCTGAATGATGATGAAAACAATTAATTGTCAAAAAGGTTATGTCATAATGTATATTGCAATATTTATGTTTAAGTCTGGCAGAAGAATGGAAAGCCTTAGACCTCAAGAAATCTTGTTCATCCTTCAGTCCCAGGCAGGATCAACTGCACTTAAATTCTGAGTGATGTTTTTGTAACTTCTTCGAATCAGCCAGTGAATATTTCAAAACATTCCTGAAGAATCTGCCCTGAAACTAAACTCCCCCTTTGAGATGAAATGCTTTTCCTAATGCCAGCTCCTTTATTGCAACGTAAGCCCAGTACTGCTTGTGATACCAAGCACAGATAAAGAAAAGCCTCTATTCCATTTCCCTGCAGCATCCCTGGAAGGGGGTCTCTGGTTTGCTGTCCAGCTCCCAGGTAATGCTCAGGAGCAGTGAAGCACAAGGCTGGCTGTGCTTTCAGTGTGGGCTATTGAGTGATTTTAACCTTGATTCTCTTGAAATGTATTCAGTTGCAGTAATGAGTAGCTGGTCAGAAGATGTAAATAGCAACTAAACCAATGAAAAGCAGGAGCACAGTTCCTTTCTCCTGTTTCTTACACTCTGTAACTGCTCAAAACAGCTGAGCATGAGGCCTGGATTCAGCAAATACTTTCTACCCTGATACAAACATAGTAGAAAGCTCAGACTGCCTTAAAGGGGCACCTGCATTTGGGAGTTTAAATTACCCCCTGCCTGGCTGGCTCAGCACTGAGGAAACAGCTGTTTCTTTCCAGGTGTAGGAAAAGGGGAGTTTTTTTCACTGTTATAACTCTGGAGTCATGTTTTACTGTAAAATTAATGAGAAATTAAGCTTGTTTAAATTCCAACAGGTTCTGGCTGTGGGTGTGAGGTTCCCACACATAATTTGCCAGGTGGGAAGCAGCAGAAGAGCTCACCTTTAACAGGGAGGGCTTTTCTGGAGGGCAGGAAAGTTAAAAAAATATGAAATGGAGTGTAGTTTGAATGCAGACAGTGAAGGAAGGAATTTCAAAAGGGATGATTTCTGGCTGTCTGGCTTCTCCTGTGGGGTATTGGGAGCACAGCTGGGCACAGCTGCAGCCTGGTGCCTGAGGAGGGGAGGGCTAAGAGCACAATGGACAGCTGTTCTCTGACACAGTGTGGCAGTCAGGTTAGTCCTGTTCAGGAGCTAAGGGCCCAAACAGTGTCCCATGATGTGTTGGCTTGGAGAGGAAATGGAAAATGA